CTGCTGCTTCTCCGTGGGCCAACCAGTCGCGCACACAGGGACAGCACGGGACCGGGAAGCGTTGGCGCGTGCGCCACGCCCCTCCCAACCCACCAGCCAGCGGCGATCTCCTTGCGTTGCCCCGCCCCGCCCCGCCCGTCGCGCGCTATCCGACTGGGCCGACGAGCTGCAAGCCCGAAGTGAAGGAGTGGCTTGGGAAGGAGAGCCACTAAGAGTGGACTTCGCGAAGACTGACACACACGCCCCGCCCCCGGGCGCACCCTTCCGTGCCGGGAAATGCACAGCTCGGGATATACCGGGGGTCAGAGTCTGAACCGCTCCTGGGTTTGCAGTGGATCTGGCCCGCCGCGGAGAGTTCCACTTACAGAGCACTTTACTAAGATACTTACAGAGTCGGCTTGCCCGCTTAGGGTCTGGACCGAGGATACTGCAGAAGGTATACCTGAGTCATACGAAGTAGCTGTCCTATCTTATTCAAGGGCCTTGTCTGAAAATCACTGAGAAAACCAAGAGATAATTAATTATAAGGCCTCAAAGGAATTAGTTTTTAATGCACTAAGGAATGAGGTTTTAATTCATTTACTGTTTGACTACTGTTCTAGTCAGTTAATATGTATTGATAGCACCATTCTGAAGCCTTCATTGGAGTTTTCTTTTCTATTTAAATATTTTTTTTATTGATTCTGAGCGAGAGAGGGAGGGAGAGAGAGAAACATCAATGTGTGAGAGAAACATCCATCAGCCTCCTGCACGCCCCTACCTGGCATAGAGTCCCCAACCAGGGCTTGTGCCCTGACCCTAAATTCAACCGGCAACCTTTCGTGCATGGGAGGACACCCAACCAACTGAGCCACACTGGCCAGGGCTGGAGTTTTCAGTGTCTGCTGTGCATAGTGCAATCTGGGCATGGAGGGGGAGGATACCACAGAAGTAGAGGACATTATTCGTGCCCTTCAGCAACAAATAGTTTACTTGGGAAGCAAGCAATTACACGAAATGGAGAATTCAGGTCAACTTTATCTTGCCTGTTTCCTTCTCTATGAAATGAGGGAACTGGACAAGGGTCCCTTCCAACTCTATTACATTGATGCTAATACAGTACAAGCTGAAGATATCCTGAGGATTTCAAAATAAGTACTTCACATACTCTCACATCATACACTCCATAAATGTCCTTCAAGATTTTACTCGGAGACTCTCTTCCATTTCTTCAGATACAGCACCATTCCACCTTTCACCTGGGTTGCCCAAAGCTGCTTTGATCCCTCGAACTGGTTTCCTTCCTAACCTAGTCCTCACATCACTTTCACATCTTCCCCAGGGCTTTACCAGTTTCTTCCCCGCCCCCCCCCCAACCATTTCTTTATAGTTCATACCTCTCTCTGAAGCACTGTAGTTCTGCCACCCTTCTTGTAACCTAAAGTGCCCCATCAGAGTATGTTCTATGAACCTTCAGGGAAGGCGCAACAACTCAGGAAAAACTCTGTCCAAGCCAAGGAGGGGTACTTTGCAACAGAGCTCCCCACTTTCATTCTTGTCCAATCTGTTCCCTTTATTCAGCTGATTTCTAACATTTCTTCTTTCTTCCCAGACTGTTACCACCCTACTCCCAACCATCTCAATGGACTAAAATGTTGACTTTATCATTTGTGTACTCTCTGGAGAGCTCTCAAGGAATCAATGCAACTGAAGTGGAAAGGGGGAGAGGGTGTAGATGGGGTTCAAATAGTTCATGGTCTCAACTTACTGAAACAAGTCCCTCTAAAAGAAACCAGATCTCACCCGGCCAGCATGGCTCAGTGGTTGAGTGTCAGCCTATGAACCAGGAGGTTATGGTTCAATTCCCAGTTGGGGCACATGCCCAGATTTCAGGCTCAATCTTCCAGTGGGGAGTGTGCAGGAGGCAGCTGATCGATGGATCTCTCTCATCATTGATGTTTTTCTCTCTCCCTCTCCCTTCCTCTTTCTGAAATCAATAAAAAACATCTTACAAAAGAAGAAACCAGGTCTCTTGCCCTGGTTTGGCTTGGTGTGTCTCAGTGGTTAGAGCGTCCACCTGCCAACTGAAGGGTCTAGGGTTCAATTCAGGTCAAGGAGACAGCACATACCTGGGTTGCAGGTTTGATTCCCCTGCCCAGCTGAGGCCTGTGCAGGAGGCAACCAATCGAAGTGTCTCTCTCCCCGCTTCCTTCCCTCTCTGAAAAAAAATCAATGGAAAAAATACCCTCAGGTGAGGATTAACAAAACAAAAAAAGTCACACCTTATAAGGCCACATCTAGCACAAACCTGATACAGTTTTTCCCAGCTATCTGAAAGTAGAGTGTACCTATGAAATCTTTCATAAGCTGAAATGGCGTAAACTATTCCCAGCTTTCCCAAAGTTCCCATTAGTACCTATTTTCACTAACTGAAAGAAACTGAAGAGGATATTTGCTTTGACGAAAAGTCATCACATATCAATGTAAGCCTTTTGTAAATGGGAAGTAGTGTATAACAGGAATTTTTGGAAAGCAGGGGGTACCTGTATCCCCCAATTTATTTTTGTTAATCCTCACCCAAGGATATTTTTTCCATTGCTTTTCAGAGAGAGTGGAAGGGACAGAGAGAAAAACATTGATGTGACAGAGACACATCAATTGGTTGCTTCCCACATGCAGAGATCGAGCCTGCAACCAAGGTACGTGCCCTTGGCCAGAATCGAACCCGGGACCCTTCAGTTCAAGGGCGGCTGCTCTAACCACTGAGCCAAACTGGCTAGGGCTCCCTAAATGTTTTCTACCTTAACTCCCTAAAGCAAACAGGAAGAAAAAAATCTGGAAGTTTCTAAAAATAAAAAGGCCTGCTAGTCATAAAATTCCAACAGACGGCAGAAAGCCTTGTTCCCCACTGCATGCTTGAAGGACACAGAGCAAACTTTCTGGAATTGACCAGCAAAGGAAAGGAAAAAATGAGGTGAGCCTAGGACCAAAGTTTTCTACCCACCTTTTCAGAGAGAGATATCCCTACATTTGTCCCCCAAAGAGTAGTTATCTACCAAGAGCTGAACATAACTGTAGTATAGTAAAAAAAAAAAGTGCCAGATACAACTGGATTCCTGTCCTCAAGTTATTTACTAGCTTTACTAATTTGAGCAGTTACTCATCTTTTCTGTTCTGCATTGGTAAAACTGTAACATCTACCCTGTGATCTGTGAAGATTAAATGAGTTAAGATCAGCAACATGGTGCCAAGTATTTAGCAGATAGTGAATAAATGTAGGTTCCTCTTTTTCAAAACTGCAGGAACAGATTCAGAGTAAAACATTTCATTGGCTATTTATTAAGCTGTATTTTTTGAGGATCTTTAGCCATAATTAGTGAAAAATCCAGTAAAGATGAAGTGCTAGAGGACAAGTCAAAATAGAAAGAAAAAATATGGATGCAAGTAAGGCTCTTAAAAGGGCCCCACACCAATGGTTCCCAGCATTTCAAAAGAGTGATAGCAGTGACTCTCAGGACTCAAGGATTAATTACATCATGAAATAGCACACCTAATAAATGACAACACAGTGACTAACAATGAAATTCTTTTTTATCATTCTGGAGAAAGAAAACAGGGAAAAAGTCACACACATTAATAATCCATGATGCCAAGCTTTTGAAGAGTAAAAATCTCCCAGCTAGGAGGGATGTCTCCCTTAGTTTCTGTTTTATTAGTGTGAATAAAAAGCACCTGCTCCTTCACCAATAAGTCTTGCACTCAGAAAGAACAGACCCAAGTGGGAGAACCACTTCAACTGTGAAGGGCTGAAGCCTCCTAACACAGTCACTGTTTTCTGCCGTCCATCTTCATCTCAGTGGTAACATGGACAATGACCAGGGGACCTGTGGCAGGGATCCCAGGGTGAAGCAGCAGCAGATGTCTATGAACAGTGTGGTGACAGTGGCTCACAGTCTCTGAACTCAGAGCTCTGCATGGTGGGCTTCTGCCTTCAACAATTCACTGGGTTTCATGAAGATGCCTTCCATGGCTTTCCAGTAGTTGTTCTGGCTTGGCTGAGCCATGCCATGCACCTCTTTTTGCCCACTGATGGGTCGACCATATTGTTCTCCTGTGACAGACAGCATAACGTCGGTGGAAGAATGCTTGAACCGCACCTCACCATCCCTCACCCAGTAGGGCCCGTTACAGAGCACTGTCCAGTCATCCAGATAATCGCCTTCACCTTCTTCACCAAAAGCACTCACTTCCTGGAAGACACAGATGGTAGTAGCAACATTATCATGGCTAGCACATAGGCTTGGAAAGGGGAGGTAGGCAATAGGAAGAAAAATAAGACTACCCAAAAGTGAAAGGCTTTCGAGGGTGGTTTAAAAGTAACTAATTTAAACTGTGGGGAAAAAATAAGAAGACACAACGGACACAAAATTGGTTGTGATAAGACTATGGTCCAAATCACTAATTTTGCAAGTAACCCTTTATTTACCTTATATTTTCTATTATAGTCTTAAAATATTTTATAACTCTTGTTATTTGACTTTAAATATTCCTGCCTTATCTTTTAACTAGATTTTAAAAGACCTGGTGAGAAACAAGCTGGAGACAAGTAGACCCTGAATCTCGGCTCTATTCCTTCCTATGTAACTCCTTCAAGCCTTTACTTTCTCTTCTATAAAATGATAACATCACCTTACAAAATAATTATGATAATTAAGAAATATTGAGCAAATTATAGCAGATACTATCTTCCACTCCTAATCCCATTTAAATATTCAGTTTCTATCACAATAAAATAATTACTGATTAATTCAGAAATATATAATTTAAATATATACTAACTATGTAATTTAAAATGATAAAAAGCGGTCATTTAGGAACAGTCTAAGACTAAAGGCAAAAAGAACTGCACATAATTAACAATTCTACTACTATACACGTATACTAGAATTGAACAAGTAGGTGAATGGAAGATAATGGAGCCAGGTATCTCACTGTTAGAGTGGGAATTTACAAAAATGTAAAGGGAGGAAGCTAGAATGATCTATGTGGTAATGGATTAGAATTGGAGACATCACTAAGAACGCATGTTTAACTTAATATACATACAGATGGTTACTTCACCTAAAGGAGGAGAAGCATAACTGCTCTCCCTCCAAGGAGCACACCCATGCTTCCCCCGCCCCCCCAGGCACATTACTTTTCTCTCTCCTAAACATCAAGGGCCCTTCTTTTGCCTCTATAATTTGTTTCCTGAGCCTGTTTCTTCTACAGCTCACTTCTTCTACCTCTGTGACTTTCTAAATAAACTTTCTCTTACAGTTTGAAAAAATAAATAAAAAAGAAGCATAACTTCCCATTCTTAAATGTGGGCTGTGAAAAATAACTTCTTTGTATAGTATGGAAAGGAGGAAAATAATTTTACAGGAGAAACCTGCCAAATACTAATTCAGCCAGGTAATCAGTATCAACAGTCATAAATCACGTAGATAGTATGTATCCTTGTTATGATGTGATGAAAATGGCACTTTACCTCTGTGATCTTTCTCCCCAAAACCTTTACAAAGCTGGTCTAATCATAAGAAAAACATCAAATAAATTCCAATAGAGTAGAGAAGTACCCTATAATATACCTAACCAGCACTCTTCAAAACTGTCAAGGTCATAAAAACCAAGAAGAATCTGAGAACTGTCACAGCCAAGAGGAGCTGAAGGAAAAATGACAACTAAATGTAATGTGGTATCCTAGATAAGATCCTGGTACAGAAAAAGGATAGTAGTAAAAACTAAGGAAATTGGAATGCCTATGGACTTTGGTTGATAACAATGTATCAATATTATCAATTAACGACAGCAAATCTACCATACTAATGTAAGATATTAATAGAGAAAACTGTGCACAGAGTGGGGTGGGAGGGAAGCAGTCATTACGGGGTTCCACACCCAAAAGCTAAAGGCTTAAAAAATGGCACAATACCTAATTCATTTTCCTAATGTGGTCAGTTGGCAACATTACAATAAGAAGAATTCTTATTGCAAGTTTGGAAACCATTAGGTTTCTTTATTATAGGATTTATCAAGAGGACATGATATGCTAACATATACCTATTCTATCTTTTCTCATTTCTTGATTTGATCTAGATATAAAGTCTCCATTTTGACCAGAAATAATTTCTTTCACAGGTATGAGACAAAGCCAATTCTCCAGGTCTGCACAAAAGAGAACATCTGCCCGGCCAGGAGTAGCTCAGTCGTTGCGCATCAACGTAAGATCCAGGAGGTCGCAGTTTGATTACCAGTCAGGGCACATGCCTGGGTTGCAGGCTCCATCCCCAGTCCAAGGGGTACAGGAGGCAGCCGGTCAATGATGACTCTCTCATCATTGCTGTTTCTCTCTCTCTCTCCCTTCCTCTCTTTGAAATCAATAAAGATATATTTAAAAAACAAAAAAGAGAACATCTACACCTGGAAAAGAAAGGACTAAGAACCAAGATATGAAACAACTCAACTGAGTAAAGCACAAAGCAGCAATGACCCATAGGATGTCACCTCACCTGGTTTCCAGAAAGAGGTGAGGTGAAGTGGTGACTATGGAGGTTTCGACCAGTGTTGACATGTGTCAGCCGAATGGGCTGGCCACATCTGATGGGTGTTCCCCTCTCACACACTGTGGAAGTCTTCCCCCGTATCCTCCAGTAACTATTGCTGTCATCCACAGAGGTTACACCTGTCACTGACTGCTGCCCACTACCTGCAGCCAAAAAAAGAAAAGAGGGTAAGTTCAACTGGACCCCTTTCTTTCCAATGGCCAATAATGTGCCCCATGTCATAAAATAGGCTTGGAGGGATAGGGAGAAAACCCTATGCTTGGTAATATTTTTTTCTTCTATAACACTAACATATATAAGAAATACTTAATGTATTTATATAGTGTTATATATGATAAACTATATTTAAGAGTGTACCGCCTGGCAGGTGTGGCTAAGTGGTTGAGCGTCAACCCATGAACCAAGAGGTCACTGGCTCAATTCCCCAGTCAGGGAACATGCCTGGGTTGCAGGCTTGATCCCCAGTAGGGGGTGTACAGGAGGCAGGCTATGGATGTGTTTCTCTCAGTTTCTATCTCTATCCCTCTCCCTTTCTCCCTCTAAAATCAACAACATTAAAAAAAAAAAAGAGTATACCGTATTGGGCCCTGGCCGGTGTAGCTCAGTGGTTAGAGCATCGGCCTGTGCACCAAAGGGTCGCAGATTCGATTCCCAGTCAAGGGCACATACCTGGTTTGCAGGTTTGATCCCCAAGCCTGGTAAGGTGCAGGAGGCAACCAATTGACGTGTCTCTCTCACATTGATGTTTCACTCTCACGCACTCGTTGGCGCTCTCTCTTCCACTCTCTCTAAAAGCAATGGCAAACTATCCTCAGGTGAGAATTAACAACAACAAAAAAAGAGTGTGCCATATCAGAAAATTCAATAATTTGCATCAAAGGGCACTAAATAAATGAACACATGCAGGTTTTTTGAAGTACAAGCAGCATTTACTTATATATGCTAGCCTGGATAGCCCCTAGTACATGTCAGGTGTCTAATATAATTTTAACATGTTTGTAATATTATTCAATGTTTACTATGTATTACAATAAAAATTTTTTTAATCACATTTCACAATTAAAATGAGACGAGTTTTGCCCTGGTCAGCAGCTCAGTTGGTTGGAGCGTTGTCCCATAAACCAAATGGTTGCAGGTTTGATTCCCTGTCAGGGCACATACCTAGGTTGTGAGTTTGCTCCCCAGTCAGGGTGAGTATGTGAAGCAACTGATCAATGTTTCTCTCTCACATCAATGTTCTCTCTCTATCCCTTCCTCTCTCTCTAAAATCAATTTAAAAAATCAATAAAAACATATCCTCAAGTCAGAATTTTTTAAAAATGAGACCAGTTTTTGCTGTCAACTTTAATCCAAACAGCCATACAACTCCTGAATTTTTTTAAGTCATCTATCAATATATTATAAAAGTATTGTTGAGTCATCTAAATTTGGTTAATACTGCCTAAAGTGGTATAATTCTGCAGGTTAAAAGGCACTGGGTTAAATATATAGCTACCCAGACTTAAGAGAGAAAATATATATGTAATTGTTAGCTAGCTAATGTGTATTGAGCACTTACTACATGTGAGATATAACCCAAGCCTTTTGATTGAATATTCTTATTTGATACATGCATCTATTTTCTGAGGTAGGTATTCTTTTTTTTTTTTTGAATCCTCACCCAAGGATATTTTTCCCATTGTTTTTTAGAGAGACTGGGGGTGGAGCAGAGAAACATCAAAACATCAATGTGAGAGACACATATCAATTGGTTGCCTCCTACACACACCCTAACTGGGGCTGGGAATCGAACCTGCAACCCAGGTACGTGCCCTTGAGTGGGATTTGAACCCATGACCCTTTGCTGCATGGGCCAATGCTCTAACTACTGAGCCACACCAGCCAGTGCTGAAGTTGGTATTATTATTATTATTATCACTATTTTACACTGGAGTGTTAGAAAGGCTGAATAGTATGTCCAAAGTCACACAACTCCAAGAGACAGTGCTGGTATTTTGAATCTAGATGCCCTAACTCTAGAACTCATGTTTTTTTTTTTTTTTTTAAATATATTGACTTCAGAGAGAGGGAGAGAGAGGGAGAGAGGGAGATAGAAACATCAATGATGAGAGAGTCATTGATCGGCTGCAGCCCACAACCTGGGCATGTGCCCTGACCGGGAATCGAACCCTGATCTCCTGGATCCTAGGTCGACACTCAACCACTGAGTCATGCCCGGCTGGGCTACAACTGACATTCTTAACAATTCTATCACATGGCCTTCCATGAAGCTTTATTTTCTGTCAAATCCCCCAAATAGGCCACTCTTGCATATAAATACCACGGATATTCTCTTCCCTAGGCCTTATTCACTACACAATTCTTTAAAGGCACTCCCTATTTCCCATAAACTTTCTTTAGGTATTCTTGCCTATTCCTCCTACTTTTGCCTTCAAGTCTCTTGGCCCTGCCTTGACCACAGCCTTTATATATATATATATGTGTGTGTGTGTGTGTGTGTGTGTGTGTGTGTGTGTGTGTGTGTGTGTGTGTATACACACACACACATGTGTATACACACACACACACACACACACATAGTGATTTCAGAGAGAGGGAGAGGGAGAGAGAAACCTTGANGTGTAGACACACACACACAGACACACACATAGTGATTTCAGAGAGAGGGAGAGGGAGAGAGAAACCTTGATGACAGAAACATCAATTAGCTGCCTCCTGCACAACCCCCACTGGGGATCGAGCCACAACCTGGGTGGGTATGTGCCCTGACATGGAATCGAACCAGCGACCTCCTGGTATGATGATCAACTAACTGAGCCACACCGGTCAGGCCTGAACACAGCCTTTTAATGACACTTCCCTTTTACCACTTAACACATTATGTCTTGTCCCAGTTATCTGGGTGAATGTTTGTAGCCAAGCTACCAGCTTCTCTCCATTGCTTCTTCCACTCAGCTCATGGTTTTTTACATCTTTAAAAATAAAAGCAAACCAACCCTTCCTCCTTACTTCTGGTTATTGCCTTACAGTTCTCTTGGTCCTTACTGCCCTGTTTCACTAAATCATGATCTATACTTTGTCTCCTTTTTCACTTTCTATTAAACTCTACACTTCCTCTCCCATCCTTAAACCTTAGAATTACCCAGAGTTCTAGCCCTGGCCCTTATCCACCTTCATACTTGTTGGGGATCAGGACAAAAGCATTTATAAGTGCTTCAACAACTTTTCAAGTGATTCAAATTGACACCAAATTGAGAACTACAGCTCATCCTGGGCAATCTCATTACTCTACCCACATCTTTAACCACCACCTCTACAATGATGTTGAACAGATGCTCCTCAACTTATGACAGGGTTATGTCCTGATAAACCCATTGTAAGTTGAAAATATCGTAAGTCGAAATGCATTTAATACCTAATCTACCAAACATCAGGGCTTAGCCTAGCTGGTTTCTACTGAATGCGTATTGCTTTCACACCATGGTAAAATCAAAAAATTTTTAAGTCGGGTACCATATGTACTTATCTCAGGCTCAGCACAGATCTCTCTTCTGAGCTCTAGACTGAACTTGGTTCTCAAATCTGGCTAGCCATCAGAAGCACCTGAAGAGCTTTCTAAACTTACAAGTTCCTGCTGGCAAGGCTCTGATTTAGTAGATCCAAAGTAGGAAACGAGATCAAATTTAAAAGTAATAAAGTGGACACATAGCAGGTGTTTGCTGAATGGTTGACCTAGGATTATTAAGACATCCCAACAATGACAACTCAGTTCCTTTCCAAGTCTAACTGGTCAAACAGGTTTTGAGACTCATGAACCACTGACTAGCCTCCACCTAAGAGAGCTCCTTCCTCTCTTAGCTATTAGTATCATCAGTCATCCAAGACAGAAACCTAGCAGTCATCTTAAATGGCTCTCTTCTCACTAGTACACTAACTTTTTTCTCTTTTTGTCTGTTTTGGTTTTCTTGTAACTGGCTGACTGACCACCATATCTCGTATATCAAGAATAACAATAGGCACATAGTAGGAGCTCATTAATGTATACTAAATGAACCTATAAATAATTGCTTAATTTTAAATGAACATGCAAACTAAGCATTTTAACTTCATTCAATAAAAAAACTCTCAGAAACAGTTTTCTCTCCAATTCCAGTGAGTGCTTTAGTTTAAATTCTTTACAAGAAGAATGGTTAAGGTTTGTACTTTTTTTTTTTTAATATATCTTTACTGATTTCAGAGAGAGAAAAGGAGAGGAAGAGAGCGATAGAAACATCAATGATAAGAAAGTCATTGACTGGCTGCCTCCTGCACGCACCCCCTTGGGGACTGAGCCCGCAATGCAGGCATGTGCCTTGATCAGGAATCAAACAGTGATCTCCTGGATCATAGGTCAATGCTCAACTGCTGAGCCACACCAGCCAGGCAATAAGGGTAAGGTTTGAATAAAAAGAGGCCAAAAGAAGAGTTGAAGATCAAGTGTCACTATGCAAAAGAGCTAGAACTAGAGGGTCAAAGGCAAAGAGTGAGCTCTTGGAATTCAAAACTTCAGAGATACAGCACTTATGTATATCTCTCCCACACTTGAGTAGTGCCAGCCCAGAGTATCGGAAAACAGACGTTGAACCTGGACGATTTGGATCGCACTCTGTCTGTCACTCACTATCTGCAAGGCTTTGAGTATGTGATTTATTTCTGAGTCTGTTTCCTCATCTTTAAAATGAGGATAACAGTAATCTCTATCTTGTAGGAATGATATAAATCTAGAAGAGTATATATGTAATGTATATACCTGGCACATAGTTCACCAGAATGAGGCTGGTATTATGATTACGATGCCTTAGAACAATGCAGTATCACCTCACACTTGTCAGAATGGCTACTATCAATAAATCAACAAACAGCAACTGCTGGCGAGGATGTTGAGAAAAGGAAACCCTAGTACACTGCTGGTGGGTATGCAGACTGGTGCAGCCACTATGGAAAACAGTATGGAGTTTCCTCAAAAAATTAAAAATGGAACTGCCTTTAGACCCAGTGACCCCACTTCTGGGAATAGATCCTAAGAATCCCAAAACACCAATTAGAAAGAATACATGCGCCTTTATGTTCATAGTAGCATTATTTACAATAGTGAAGATCTGGAAACAGCCCAAGTGCCTATCAGTAGATAAGTGGATAAAAAAGCTGTGGTACACAATGGAATACTACGCGGTTGTAAAAAAGAAGGAACTCTTACCCTTTGCGACAGCATGGATGGACCTGGAGATTATTATGCTAAGCGAAATAAGCCATCTAAGAAAGACAAATACCAGATGGTCTCACTAATATGTGGAATCTAATGAACAAAAACTGACCAACAAAGTAGAACTAGAGGCATGGATACAGGGAACAGACTGACAAATGTCAGAGGGGAGAACGGTGGAGGGGACTCGATAAAGGAAGGTGAAGAGATTAGCTAAAGGACATATATGCATAGCCCATGGACACAGACATTAGTATGGGGAGGGCCAAGGGAGACCGGGTGGGGGCTGGGTGGAGATGGGCAAACACGGGGGGAAATGGGGGACGTCTACAATAGTGTCGACAATAAAAAATTTAAATTAAAAAAAAAAAAAAAAG